TTTTTACAACTTGGAACCATGTAAAAAAATAATTTGAAAAAAGTAAATACTTTTCGAGATAATTAATGTACCCACTTAAAAGAATCACCCTGTGTGTGTGTATATATATATATATATATTTAAAAAAACTCGAATTATTTATTTTTAATCAAACAAAATGTTAAAAAGCTAATTCATTTCTACAAGAAGTAAAACAGATGTACTATTATTTACTTAATATTTTTATCAGCTTTTATTGAATAATTATTCCTATGTTAAATGGGGAGAGGGGCGGCATCCACATTCTATAGTACTTATTTACCAATTTTTTAAGTAATTTCTAATCATATATGCACCCATAATATTTCACATGATTTGTATATTATGAACTTATGGATTAAGTATTAAATATAATAGTATGACACTATGGGATATTAGATGTTGTTGGAGGTTATGGTGACGCTCATGATTTAGTACACGGTGTAAACTTTAAATCTAAAATTAATAATTGTTGACCCAGTTGGCTGGCCACTTAAGAATTAAAAGTTTTGAATGATTTAAATATATACTTAAACAATGAATGTTCTAACTCTAAACCTTATTAGCCTTTGTATAATCATTGTCTATAATTGCATTATTCCACTTCGAATGTTTAGTTAATTATTAAAATGTTTAATGAACAAAAATAAAATCCCTGCGAATTAAATTATTATGCAATATAATTTGTGCACATGAATGGGTTATTTTTGATATTTTTAAACATTTAGGTATATAATTATTGAATATAAATTGTACAGGAGTAGATACATAACTGAGTAATTAATTTTACATGATAGATACTTATTTTAAAAACAATATATTTATAAAAAAATGTAAAATTTTATTATTTTTCACTATATAATTTTTATTAGGCATTTTTAATTCCTTATTCTAAAGAAGAATTTTTGTTAGAGTATTTATAGTTTTGATGAGCAATAAGGCACCTAAACCGGTAGTAAAAATACAGTYGTGTAAATCTAAATTGTATTGGACTTGTTCAAGTTTTTCAAATCGAATTTTTTGTCCACAGGATTCAGAAACCACTAATCAGTAATCAGTACTGATGTGTGTAATATGATACAATTTAGTTCAGGGGTGGATCTTCAAAGTGTTGATAGGGGAGGGGGCATATATAAATTGTATAATTTTAATTTTAATCAATAGCTTATGATTATAATTATAAATAGGTATCAATAAGACACTAAAGCCACTATAAATCCTGTTTTATCAGTTTGAATGCAAGTTATGATTATAAATTAATAGTTGGTACTTGGTAGTATTATTATTCTTATTAGCTGAATTTTTCATTATAATATTATGATACTCGTGGACAGTAGTTATACAAAAAAATCGTCGTCTATAGAAAATTAATGAAAGACACGTGCCCCTCCCCCGAATGGAATGATTTTGTCCATTACTCCGTTCATTTAAACTAATTAAACTTTAAATATTTATAACTCATAATCTAGCTACTAGTTAAAAGTCTGAATTTTGTTTGAAATACTCTGATTAATATTCTGTTTAGAAACATGGAGTAAAAACAAACCTAAAAATTGATCACGATAAAAATAGTAAAAATATTATTTTTTTATAAGATATAAAACAAAAGTGAATATATAATAGTAATTTACAATAACGTCAATAACTTAAAATGAATGAAAAACAAATATAATAAAATTAACAATATATGTACAATTTAATATATTATAATATTTTTAAAACGTTAGTATTTTCTGAAATTTTTATTATCTTACATTAGCCTGTAATAATTCATGATGCATAATATTACATTTATATAACAATTTAATACTTAAACAATGAAACTAGGCACTTTAGTTGATATCATAATCATACTATCTTAATTTACGACTATATTACCAAATACCAATGGCGGTGTCAACTCAATGACGCAGTAAAAAATTTTCAACACCCACCCACTCACGTTTTATATCAACACCAAAATATTTAAAAAATATATATATAAGATACCAAAAAATAAAAATAGATGCAGTAATATTCAATTGTTTTCAATAGGTATATGGTATATATATATATATATATATATATATATATATATATATATATATATATATATATATATAGGTATATAATACGCATGTGTGTGTATATAATATATTAATTATAATATACATATATTGATGTTTAATTATATTTTAATATTCATTTGAATAATAATGACTTTAGTAAAAGTTCACTTGATTGAGAACATTTTTTCGTTACGCAACTGCGTCAAATTAATCCCGTTCACGCCGCCACAGTCCACAATAATATTACATTATTACTATAGGTATAATCCTATAATCTTTCGTACAGTACACTTCCAAACTGTGTTTAATATCTGCTGTAATATTTTACGATATCTCACGTACCATTTTAGTATTCGATAGTCCATAATGATGTCTACAATAATTATAATAGTCAACAAATTATGAAATACATCACCACAGCGTCAGTACGYAATGCGGAGTGTGGATATTGAATTTGAATATTTGATCATGTAAATATTATAAAATTTAGATAACCGTGACTATATTATAACATACAAGGTGATGTTTTTCTTTGCTTCGTTTTCCGCTATTATTATTTAAGTATTTAATCGTTAATGACTAATGACTATAATATGTAATGCAATGGAAAACGAGAGTCCTAATAAGTAGGTATACCTACCTATTTAACTTTTAAATTTACAATATTTGAATTTTTCTACATACCTACCATACATTTTGTTAAAAATGTGTCATAGTCCATTGCATTTAAATTTAAAGACCACTATCACTGCCTTCACATGACTTTACTTCCTTAAGTCGACAAATATGGAAATAACAAATAGGTATAGCCACTAGCCAGGTAGGTATTAGGTAATGTAATATAATTTTCACATGCACCATTATATATTAAGGGGTGACAGAGGTGTTCACTTGGAGTATAGTAGTATACTACATAACTATAATTTATAATAATTTCAAGCGTGTGTGATGATCAGTAATTATTATGATGATAATCTATTGATTATTCTATATATACTAGCTAGTAGCCACAATAATCAGTCGAAAATTAATGTCAAAATTAAACAAAGTCCGGACTATTTTTTCTTTTGGAGAAAAAGTCAAGAGCACATTTTTCGAGCCAGACAAAAGTTTGAAAGTACAAATTATTTAACTTTCATAATGTTCAAAATCTGTATTTTGACTTTTTGTATCTACTCTACACAACTGACTGTAATTGCGTAGACTATCGGTATGACTGTATAAGAAATACAAATGAAATAATATAAAAGAAAATTATTTATTATACACATTTTTTAACTGATGATCGAACACATTGTTCGATTATTTTAAGTTTTAATTTTGTGAATTAAATTACATTAAACGTAAGTAGGTATAAATTATATCTTAATATTTAAATGGTATTTCGGAGTTGTTCGACCTTATTCAATTCAGACTTTATGTTCCSGGATTTAAAAGCCACTTGGTAATCAGCATAATATGTAACATGATATATTATTTGTATAAAAAAAATAATGTAGGTCCTTACACTAAAATATTAGATCCTCGGCCGCGGCAGTTGGCAAACACGACAAATATTTATCAATTCCCAGTTTGAGGTCAACGAGTTGTTCTAAAGTTCCAACTTCGAAAGTTATATTACTACATCGTCTCTTATTTACATCTATAAATACCTATGCTCATGTGATGTATGTGTGCTATATAATATACACTAAATATATATTATACACATATTTATCGAAAGAATGTAACTAGAATTCCAACTCACCAGACACCAGTTACCAACAAGTTAGGTAACGATCAAGAATTGAATGTCACTCAGCATCGCGCGCTCTGCTAGAAAAAAAAATCAAATTCTAAAATATTTAGTGTCAAATATGCCGCCTGCATAAAATGTTCTGAATGCAAACTGTCTGATGTTAAGTGGGAAATTGCCAATACTCAACAGCRATGAAGAATTAGACAGAGTAAAAAATAAACTTTTGATCAACAGCATAATATGGGTATGGGTAAAGGAAGAGGTACTAACCATAAAATCGTAACCCAATCGTATAGTTATAACTTATAATATAGTACCTACTTACAGGCGAGTTCTCGATTGTCAGAGATTCGTAAACTTTTAGAATTTTTTTTTTTTTTGTCCAAATATAAAATTAAATTAAATTTCCTATGGGAATGTTTATCTGTGTCGGGATTRGGTTATGATTGCATAAATATTATGATCATATTATTATTTTTATAATTTATAAATAATTACTTTGTGGTATTATTTGTAAATATTATCTATGGATTGTGGTACAGCGGTCATTGGACATTTGAAAAGAAAAATTGATTTTGTATTATCTTGCACTGATAAGAATGTTTTCGTATCAACTATCAATGTATTATGCATTTGGTAATGCTTTTTAATAGTTTTAGTTTATATTGTTTATAATTGTTTATAACTATTCATTTTTTTATTTTTTTTATTTTTTTTTAGAAATTGTTATTTATTTAATATTCATAGTTAACGTTAAAAAATTTAATATTGTTAGTGATCGGTTTATTAACAGCATTTTACTTTTCCATTAAATTTATATTSTCTATTGAAATTTAGTTTTTAATATAAATCAATAGGTATACAACATAAAATTACATTTTCATTAATTACAATCTTATATTTTTAAAAATGGTCGTAAACGATAGACTTCAAAATAATTTGTTGAATAATTTTCAAATAAACGAGGTAATGTACTTAATATTTGTTTTAAAAATAATATGTTAACTGTGTAGTCGTTTAAGATTGAATGGTTGATTAGCTTTGGGCTTTCGAATCACGGTTATCTATATAACAGTGTTTGTCAAATGATTTTGTCATGGGGAGAGGTGCGTGATTTTTAACATGCACCATTTGACTCTGAGAAATAAGGCTGAAAATTGTCTATATTATTATAAATATTTAAAAAAAAGTTGTGATGGATCTATCCTCCTCACCACTCACTGTACGACATCCACTGCTGTATAACCATGATTTGAATTACTTTATGAATTGATTGAAACTAAGTACATATTTACAATAATCGTAGTATAATTTATAAATTTAAAAAATTTAAGTAAAAATTTAAAAATTTAAATGAGTTTGTAATTTAAAAATCCATTAATTTAACAGAAAAAACAATAGTTGTTGGTTAGAAATTGTTATAACTTTATAAGTAATAGAAATTCATAAATTATTTGTATATTATCCTTAATTATTATTGTTATTTATTGCATTGATATCGTTGAGCTGCAATATTTTGTAATTAACAGAAGCTAAAAAATAAAATCTATTTGTTTATTGCTTTTATAGATAATTTTTTGATGTTTATAATTTTGTAATTAATTACTTTTAGGATGAAACAGAAGACGTGAGCTTGGATAACCTAAGTATAAATGAAGTATGTGTCGTTTATTTTATTAGTTAGTAGTTTTTTTTWAAATAATTTTCCCATAAGTATTTAATTCATAATTCATAAAATACATGAAGAATAATATTTTTTGTATTATTATTGTAGTCGCAAACAAATATTATAAAACATTCTTGGCAGTACACTGTTCAATTGAATCCAATTACATTCTATGAAAATAATTCAGACGTACAAGTAATTATCAACTAAAACAAATTATTGCTATATAATTATATTTTTTATTAATTTATTGATTATAGCCAAATAACGAACACCAAGTCTGGAAAGAAACTCATTACTTGTCGGTATGTTGAATACATATTTTTATTTTTAGAACACTTAATAAATTTTTATTTATAATTTTCAGTTGTATAAAAATGTATTATCCATATTAAACAAAATTACATGGACAACGTTTGATCAGCTAGTTGATGAGTTTCAAAAATTGCCAATAGAAAACGTGGAATGTCTTGAAAATATTGCTAATATTGTTGCTCTTAAAGTAAATAAAACAGTTAAATTTTTAAGTAAAAAATTTAAAAAAAATTTACTTAATAAGATTTTGTTTTAGGCTTTTGATGAATCTTCATTTGGATCTTTATATGCTTCTTTATGCAGAGTTCTTGACATAACTATTAGTTGTCAAAATGGAAATCATTTAACATATCAGAAGTCATTTAAAAAATGTGTTATCACAATTTGTCAGAATTATTTTCAAAAGCAATGTTTAGATGACACTGAGACATTGTTGATGTCTATAGAACATGAACACAATCAAAGAAGACTAAAAATGCAAGCAATTGGTTGCGTCAGGTACATCACTTAAATTAAATATTTAATCAGACCCGCAGACATAATACTTTCTTGTGTTTTTACCATCATCCAAATGCACATCATAACAAATTTTATGTTCAAAATAATTCATTTTAATTTGTAATTCAACAATACAGTGAATTGACTTATAATTATCAAATTTAAAGGTAATAACTAATAAGAATATTATTTTGAGCTCCACATAAGATTTTTTAATTTTTTTGATACTTTTGAACATTAGAATAATTATGGTTCTTTTTCCAGTTTTTGAATATGYGCATTTATTTGTGAAAGATTTTTTCCTTAGACTCATTTTCCAAACCATGGAAAACCATGATTCTCAAAACAATTATTAGAAAGCAGAATAATAAGATTTTTTTTATCAAATGATTTATTGTTATTAATATTTCTGTTTTTAGATTTATTGGAGAATTGTTTAAACAATCATTAATATCGCCATACATTGTTCACTACTGTATTAAATCCTTGCAATCTAAAACAAAAGAAAGATCTCTTGAGTACCTCTGCAATCTTTTAAAAGTAGCCGGCAAAGAGTTAAATGAAAAAGTATTTTTTATTTTTATTTACTTTTCAAGTACTTTAGATAATTAAATAAAATGTATTAATAATATAACCTTTTTCAACAATTATAGATAAGTTTGGAAGATATATTTGAACATTTAATATACTTGGTATCTGATGAAATGAGATCTAAAATATCACCTAGGATACGATTCATGGTTAAGGATGTAATTGACGTGGTAATGCCTTCAAGAAAAATCTAAAATCAAACTATTGATCTTTATACGCTATATAAGGTTATAGTTTATGTGCAACTCAATTTTTTTTTTTTTAAGTAAAAATTATTTAAAATAAAAAAATTTAGATTGTTTTCAAATCATATAAAATATTTTATGATTGTAATTGTATAAACCATATTATTTAGTCTTGGAGCTCACAAAGTTACAACTCTTACTATTTTCACCTTTCAGAAATTGACTACTGTGCTATATTTTGATGTTTTATTGTTAGTAGCAATGTTCATAAAGAATGCTAAATGGAAATTTCAACTTGAACATTTTTTATTATTATTGTAATAAACTAATAACTATTTTAAATAATCTGTGATATATATTAAGACCCAAATATAAGGAATAAAAATATTAAACCATATTGTTGGTAATGCCTTTTTGCTAATATGTCTTTTAATTAATTAAAATTAATATTTTTTATATATTTAATTAATTTTAACAAAAACAAAAAAAGGTGGAGTTTGTATGCTAAACCAGTTTTTGACAAAATAAAATAGATTTTTTTATCTACCTCTTGAGTGTTTGAAGTTTGATATTTTTTGACATTGGATATTTTTAATTCATATAGAAATATCTCATGAAACAATATTCTTATTTTATTGTGGTATAATAAAAAAAAAAMCGCATATAGGCTGATACTTGAAATTTTCCATTTTTGCTTTTTGAAATACATTCTCAAMAAGTGTCTGCTTTTTCAACAATTTTACGATATTTTTACACTGTTTATCTTTAAACCTTTTTTTTATAGACTTACCCTTTCGCCTTATCAATTTTTCGTTGTATTCTGATATTCAAGTGTTTGATTGTGTATAATGATATTGGATACATTGACAATACATTCATAACTGTACTCCATACGCCGAGAGAATGTGGCTACTTCGCGCATACGACTGGAGTCGTGGTGTGTGAATATGAGTGGTTTCGACGGGGTCCGATTGTTATAGATTGGGTGCAACCAATGTTGCTGAAATGCATTTATGGGCAATACTATTCAACCCTGCATTGATGTACCTATTTTGCCTATACAACACGCCTGACAACCCATTATGTTTGTGCGAAATACGTAAAACAATTAATTTAGATATCCGTCATCATTATTTACGACAACCGGACAACACGACTACTTTTACTGTACTTAGTCTATAACCTAGATCAGAGGTTCTCAAGCTTTTTTGGTTCACAGCACATAATTATAAAAAGCACACTCWACACAAATGTAATGAAATAAATTACTGTTTTCAATATTTTTACCAGCATAATTACAAATATCAGAMACTTCTCGCGGCACACCTAGTCGATCTCTCGGTACAGTATTGTTCCGCGGCAMACCGGTTGAGAACCACTGACCTAGATAATAGGTATTAGGTACATATAGATACAATTATATACTTGTCTTATAATTTTGATCACATATTAATTATACTTTAAAACAAGAAATTTCAATTTCACTTGGTCGTTGTCAAGTCTCAAACCGGATTCATAGCTACTTCGTTTGTCGTGTCGATCAAATCATATTGTAATAATTGGACATTGCTTACTTGGTATCGTGTAATACCATATATGGTGTCCGAGTATACCAAGAACTGACTTCAGCTCAATCCTTAAACCACATTGATTACCAGCTATAACCATAGTTACCACGCTCTCGGACGACGTAGCTGTAAATCCGGTTTCTTTATATTAGATCGAGGATCATAAAAAGCCACGATTGACGATTCCTATTGATTTCGTTTCCATCAATCAACAAGATTTCATCAGAACATGTAGTTTGGAATAGAGTTTCGAGTCCTTACAAATAATGACTATAAAGTATGATATAAATATTAATTCTAAGATTTTTATTTTTATTCAAATATTCATTTTGAAATTTGATCTTGATATTATGTTTCAAAAAAAAAAAAAATTTGCGAGTATCTTAAATATTTTTAAAGTTATTGTCCTACACAAGTTTTACAGTTATATTTGGGCAGATGAAAATAATATATTAAATATATGGCACGATATGATATACGATTTATTAATAGTCAATGTATAAATATAATAGTGTTAAATTAATAATACAATAATAATATAAATTAGTCTACGTGGTGAGGCCGAGAGGGAGGAGATTAATTTGTTCTGTCCGCCGCGGAATTCATCAAGCGCCTGTACGAAAAAAAAAACGTCGAGCCTCGAGTGGGTCGTTGTTCGAGAACACTTCATGATTGGTGAAATGCTTGAAATTACAATTATTATTTTTTTTTTATATATATATAATAATTCTATATATAGGCAATGTAGAATAACGATTTCGTTTGGTGGTTTTTGGCGACGCACAGAAACATTAAAAATTAATACAAAAATATGAAAAATTACATAACTACGTTGCAGAGTTGCGATATACATAATATGTATATGTATGACGTATGTACATATTATGTATGACAATAGGCAGGTGTGTTATTGTAATATATTATAACTGTATGGCAATATTATTATTACATAATATTATGATTCCTTTTACAGACTATAAACGCTAATGAGTTTAAAAATTACAAAAGTAGGCGTCGTTAAAAGCGATTTGATTATAAAATAGATTTAAACTAAAAAATGAAAACAACGTTTTTTTTACGATATTATATAATATAATATTCTTGTTGTCTTAAGCGCGGCGTTGGACTGCGGTGCGTTTTGTTCGTTGATTATATTATTCGTTTCTTTGAATGATATTGTTGACGTCGTGTCTGAAAACAATAAAACAAAGGGAAAGATATCAGAATATGTTTGATTATCGTGTTTTTTCGTTCGTCCCATCATTACCACTCCATTGTGATTGTCCCATCGTCGACAAAGCAGAAGCAGTGTTAACAAAACAAATTATTAGATGAGAATAGTTTTTTCAAAAAGACATTGTTAAATTGTTGACACATAAATGGCAATGGCACAGAGATAGTGATGTAGGTAGTTGTCCCATAAAATGAGGGAATAAATATTTAAAGAGTGTGTAACTGCACATGTTATGTATTAAGATAATTAAGTAATGATAAATCGGGTCCTTGGTTTCTTTTTGGATCTTACAAACGTATAGGTACGCATGGCGAATTTATGTTCAGGCAGAAACTATATTTTGTGTCATTATTCATTAATTTTTATAAATAATTGTGAATTGAACAAATCATCGAATTAAAAATATTCTGCAATGCATCCAGTAGAGCAGTAGACTATTTAATTTATTTTTAAACTTTAAAGCAAGATATGAGTATTTTACAGTTTTAATATTTTATATAATTATGATTCGATTTAACATTTAAAAACCAACAAAAACCCAAAGATTTACTTTATAATATTGAAACTATCATCGTAAAATGAGTTATTCTGAATGCATATTATTTATATAAATACTATATTGATCAAGAGAGTTTTGTGAGTCTTTGACAGAATGTCAGAATAGCTTTAAAAAAAAAAGATCATAACGCCCACAAGGCCACAACCAAAGTAGAAAAATCCAAGTTGTTCTCGCTCCAACAAACGCCCTTGCAGAATAACAATTACAACGCTCATGCTGAGTTGCATAACAAATGTGTTGATTTAATGGTTCAATAATAGGATGTAATAATAGATCAATGTTGTGCTACTGAATCATGTTTGAAGGATCATTAGCTCACGAAGAGTCGTTAAATATTTACCTAGAAATTGTTCATGTAAACCGGCAATAGTGGTATTAAGAAGAAAACCATTACTAAGTATATTAAACAAGACGTAAAGGTGCGTATATGTAAAAATATAAAATATTTACCGATACAATAGAAATGTTATTTATTGCTTTAAACAAATTTAATTACTATATATAGATTTTATATTATTATAATATACGTCTTATACACCAACAATCGCGAGTACCGTAATACAAGTTGTGGCAAAAATGAAACATTATTATCTAATTAACATCATAATTATATAATCTTTTCTTAACACAACATAATATAATAGCAACGCGTTAGAACATTAAATATAGCTCCGCAGCATTTTGAGTGGTACGATTTTAACGTTTAAAAATTTGACCTATCTCTATATATAATATAATATAAAATTAACAACTAACAGGACTGTGAATTTGGTAATAAATTAGCGTTTTTTGTTTTTACTTTATAGAAGATATAAATTTTAAATAATTAGAATAATAATAAGAATTTTTTGTTTTGTTTCGTTTAGTGGACATTTTTCTTATTTATAGTAAATTATAAGTGTTGATGTGTTATTGGATAGGAAAGACCCGAATTTAATCATAATATCTTATGATAAATTTTTTTTTTATTGAAGTAGATCATGGATGAATATGTTAATGAATATAATACATTTTGAAGAAAAAATGTCAAGTTATTTAGGTTAGATATATTTCTCCTATATTAGTATCTTTGTATGTAAGCTGAAGCAACCTTAATCCTTAATTGTATATATAATGTGTTGAGTATGTGGGTGTATTATCATATTATTGACATTAATAAACGATGACACTAGAAGAGTAATATTGTTCATACAGAGCCTCCTCTACTGTTGGTTTTAATGAAAAAAAAGGTATATATCTCCTATGCTTATGTTATTTCCGTTTAACACAAGAAAATATTTATATGTTATGAATAATATAATTTAATTTAAAAAAATAAGGCAATTAACTAACTTAACTTTGAAAAGTTTCGAATAAACCATGCTTACATATTTTGGTTATTTTTAATGTACARGTGAATGATGTAAATTTTACAGTTACCTATATATTTAGCACATTTAATTCACAGCCCTGATAATAAAAATACATAAAAGTTAATATAAATAGTAAATTTGACGTGCCAACTATATTTTCATCATTATATTATGACGTCTGTAGGCGCGAGGTGTGGTCACTCAGGGCTGGCTCAAGCAAAGTAGTGCATAAGCAAAATCAGATTTTTCCACCCCTTAAGTAATAATATTATCGGTTTTAAAAATGTCACCCCCTTACTTAATTTTCGATACCTAGCTCGATATAGGTACATTGAGTCGGCCCTGTACCACTTTAGACACTACCCTGTAAATTGAAATGGCTTATTATGAATATATGCGTTTTGATGACGCACATACTGCACAGTAATATGACTAAATAGGTTTTGGTTAAAACGAAAACATTAGTTTGATCGTAATCAAAATACGAAATGGTCCACAGTGAAATTTATTTACGCTTAAAATTCTACTATGCACGTTGCATTGGCACAATTGGAGGTTGATGCGATGCTAAAAATTTTAAACTAAATTAGACACCCGTTTTTCGGGTAGAAAAAATATAGTATGTTCATCGTAGATCGGCAATGAATTCTAGGCTATTTTTACTTTAATCATTAAATTAAATACTATTCCAAATAAGTATATTTCATTTATTTTATAAATAGGTGCTTCTTAATCATTCTTATATAAGTCAGTATTTTTAAATAACATATATTATAAATAAAATACTAATATACTATAGTAAGTAGATACTATTTTTATTAAAATATTGATACTAATAAGAGACAAGATTATATGGATGTAAAACATAATTTAATAGATACAACCGTAGCAGAGGCTATATACCTAGCTATAGCATCCTCTAATAGCACCAATGCGATACGTTATTACTAATTGTTAATATTATTATGTGCAAAAACCGAGAGACGCGAGTTTACAGCGATCTTTATTTTTAAGTAAATTAAGCATGCTTACAAAAGMGAACAGTTCTGGTATAGGTCGTACTCGGTAGGTACCTATAATCTATATATATAGTAGTATGCTTAGGTTATCGAATATATTGTGCCCGTCGTTAATGTTACATAATGTTGTACTTTTGGGCAATATTATATGGTCGAGAATTTATCCCTTATTCAAAAGTGCACGTTTCCATTTGATCATAACATAAAATATAGATATGTTTTGGGTGTAAAATTGACTTAAATTTGACTCTTTCGTTTAAAATGCCTTAATGACATCTTAAACAAGAAAMATTAACATTATATAGGTAGGTACCTATATATAATATAAAAAAATATAAAAGTTCAACGTACCTAATTACATTTTCTACGCCTAAGTCTTCACGTGTTTATTTTTATTTAATGTATTTTTACGATGTGCAACGAATAACGATATTGGGTAATGTATGATTCATATCTAAAATTAAAGTTTTCAGTCGAATGGTGTAAAACGAARCGATTTGTGAGTAATTATAATTATAGCATTAATTGCAGCCGTCGACACTTGATATACACATCAGACAAAATACAATATGTTCTCATATAATAATCACACACTTATTATAAATAAATATATATAAACAATATACATAATATACTTTTTATGGTACATAACATAAAGTCACAACTAGCGTGGTATATAGTATATTAATTTACCTATATATACAATATACATATATATACACAGGATAATAACATTGGTAAATGGTAATATTTTCTCACGGAAAGTTATGAATTAGTCAACAATAATATCAAAAATAACGTAGTTAACATAAGCCTTATGCTAAAGTTATCGTGTGTACAAAAGCATTCGTTATTGGTGTCAGACTCAAAGTTTCCGGTTTCGTTGAGTTCCGGCCACCCAGGGACCGTGGGCCACTGAGAGTCCACCTGAAATACCACTTGGTCGTTAGTGGTTTGTGTGATTATCAACGAAGACGGTATACGTCTTAAATCATTCTTTTTATAATAATAACTGTGTCATAAACGAAATGATCGATTAGTGTTAGTAGTGTTATTATTATTATTATTTTTACCCGCCACAAGTCGAAGAAAAGCAGCGTGTCGGAAAAACAAAAATAAAATACGTTATTATTAGATCGGGTAAACAAAAACATAATCAGGGCTGTAGATATAATGAGTTTGTATGTTTTTTAAATTGCCTTGTTTCTCTTTTGTACTAGGAATTCAGTTTATTTAATAGAGTTTTTAAGTGGGCTAAAATCACAGCCCTGCGAATTATATTTTGTAGAATAATAATGCATAAAAAAATAATATTGTCCCTTACCTGTTACAAGAAGCAACGTTTTTGCCGGACAACGACTTTTGGCCCAGATTTACGTATCCTGAGTCCTGGATACGTACATCACCAATACAACCCTCATATCCTTTGTAATGGTTGTCGTTCGATGTCAGTATGACTTCCGGTACTCCACCTGCGTAAAAGAATTCGACTTTTTTTTAAACTCCGAAACCCACGGACAGATTTTTTTTAGTAAAACTACTAAAGAATACGGWCATGTCAAGTCAATATCAAGCATGTTAAGTTCCTTATAGTTATTAAAATTTATAATTAAAACTTAATAAACGCAAATTAAATAAATATTTCCAGCCACACTTGGTATTTATGATAGTTTTTACTACGGTTCATATTAAATAAATTATTGATTTTGAAATTAAAACAAAAACAATAGTTATAATTAGACACAATGATTTATTAAATCATCTAATTGGACACATACTACTTATTAGTTATTACCTTTAAAACTTAACGTTTATTACATTGATTGGTAATAAATAATAATTGTAKCAATATAATCAATCATTGCAACAACTTAGTAGATTTAAATACATGATCATAATATATTGTCATTTCTCATTAGAAATGTATTTTATTATCAAAATTATTCTAATTTAAAGAATTTGGAAAAATATGTCACAATAAGTGAAGGCTAACCACTACTCTCCAAATCTCTTCTCTCTGATTAAGGTATCGATATGAGTAATAAATAAATGCTGTTGCGACTTACCGATATATATCAAATCGGTAGATTCCAAGAGTTGTTGGATGTTTACGTCCCGTTCTTTACCATATTCTGTAGTCAACCTGTCTAGTTCTAAAGACCACTCGGCTCCATTTCCACGGATCAATATCACGTGGGGTTCATTGTTGTTAACATGATGGTCCGTGGCTCGGATTGCTGGTGTAGATCTGCCTTTGAACCTGTGATTCAGTTCTACGTAGCCGTTGACAACTGCAAAACAAAATACGATTTTATAAACAGAAATAAGACTTAATTCGATAAAAAAAAACCACTCAAATATTAATTCAATTTCGTAACGATCTATTATTATTATAAATATTGGTTATTCGCTCACTAGAGACGGCGATGTAATTTTCGACTACACCATCGTTGTTGGGTTCTTGGCCTTGCCAGTACAATAGACCGTTAGCTGAATCTGTGGTGAACGTCATCGATATGGAATGTTCTCTCTTATTCCGATCCATTAGGCTATTTTCCAACTGCAGATAACTGTTTCCRCTGAAATTGGCTGTGATGTCCAAAACCACCACTGAAAAAAAAAATTCACGTTAAAAATACAAAAATAATAATTTGTCTTCCACGATGAATACGCACTTTCGTTGCACGTCGGTCCGGAATGTCCGAGTGGGCAATCGCACCTGTACGAGCTCGAATCGATGTCGGTACATATACCGTTGTTGAGACACGGTTTCAGCGTCGAACACAACTTCGCTTCGACATCACACTTCGGACCACTATATATATAAAAACACCCACAAACACATCCCATTTCAGTATACTCGACCGGWAAAAAATCATAATCATAATTCAATTCGACCACAATCAGTTTACCTGAATCCGTTTTCACATTCGCATACGTATTCATAGTGTTTGGGCGTAGTATGGCAGTTCGCGTAATTCTTGCAGTGGTTATACGAACAGGCATCTCCCCGAGCAGTAACACAGTCTTCTRTGTTCGCGGAATCCACGGTAGAACTTATCATGTCCAAGTCCATTCCAGAGACTTTTAGCTAGATAATAATTTTGTTTATTAATTGATTATTTGACCTAAGCATACATGCGTATTGCGCCGGGTAAGAAGTTTTAGCTTCTTTACACTTTAAAGTTTAAAGCACTGGTTCTCATGGCTTTTTTGGTTCACGGCACACTATTATACATCACAAGTTTTCGCGGCACACTCAACACAAACGTTATGGAAATATCATCAGACATTTCTCACGGCACCGGCTGAGAACCACCGGCTATCAAAGTTTTTTGCTATTTATAAATTTTGCTATATAATTTTGCTATTTGCTAATGGCCTTAGTCGCGGCTGCATACTATAGATGCGTCCCGAAAATATCTACGAAAAAAGGTCTAATCCGAATTGCGGCCCGAGTTTATTTTGGGTACAGACGAGTTGCGGCCCGGGTTTTTTTAATTCTAGATAACTTAATCTTGACTGATAAAATATAATTACAGTACCTATAATGTAGACACCTTAGTCGTCACTTTACTACCGCTAAGAATGTTCCGTCGCTTTTCTGTTTTAATTTACTTATAATGTCGAATGAACCTACTTTATACAAAATACATAGCTAAATAAGTACATTATACACCAATTATTTCAAATATATATTTAATAAATTTGTTTGTCCATATTACTCATTTAATAAATTATATATATTTGTCATTTTTAAACTAAATAAATTTAATTAACATGCATTTTTGTTTGCATATTTGAATGAAAATCAATGCATAAATGCATTTTATAACATAATAAAATTTAATTACATACATATAATTAATTTAATTTTAAATTCCGGGACGCAATTCATATGTAACTCAAAAAAACTCGGGCCGCAATTCGTATGCATCCCAAAAAAACTCGGGCCACAATTCGGAAGAAATTTTTACCGCGGGACGCAACTAGTAGCCACCCTTAGTCGTTGGGCTAAAGACCAATAAAAAAAAACCATATGCATGTATGGTCAAGTTTTGAAGTTCAGACACAATTATATAGTTAGGTCCAGCTATCTTCTCAGTAGTTTCACTCGTTTCAGAATATACTTAGCATTCTACACAATTGTCAGATCTTTGTGATCTATATATACATAGCTATAAAAATCAAACATCAAGAGACTAGAGGTATTACCATTTTTATGCATCCTTTGAAATTGTTCTCGACTTCCACGGATTTAGCGATTTTCATCTTGTACGAATCGTAACCACCCATAAACAGATGAGTTTTCAATTCCAAGGGATGCATGTTACCGTTTTCGATGGATCTGATTGGCGTTTCTTTGTTGACTGACAATTTGCATTCTTGCGTTTCCGTGTTACGACTAACGGTTATTGTGGTCCATTCACCAATTTCCAAGTTTTGTCTGCTTCGTAACATGGACGTCATACCTAAATGGCATTAACGAGTTACAATTCGTCGCTTCAATAACGGACATAATAGAATATACAATATAAATATTTTGTAAGTAAATCAGACTATCAGAGCTCAGCTGCTCAGGAATTATATATGATACACAATTTTTTAAATATCAATTTAAAAGGAACCGAAAAAGTTGAAAACAAACATATGCTTACAATATTATGCATTTTTGATGAAAAAAAAAAAAACAAAATATGTGTAAAAATCTTTTAAATTTTAAATCACGGATCAAATTTGTTCTGAATCAAATACGTCAAAATGATTTTCAGAAAAAATATGCAAATTCCTAAAGTAGGTACCGAGCTCTGCGGGTCATTACATACCGGCCACGGTGTAACGGAATTCAATTTGTCTGTTTTTCAACGTCACTGACAGGAATTGGCCTATTCCTTGATGGTTTTGAGCGGCGTACAGAATCACACCATCAGTCAAGGACGCTGGATTGATGTTTAAGGATATCGTTAGTCTGAAATACACGAAAATAGTACGATTAGAACATTTATTTACTGCTATAAAGAACGAGGTATGGAAATCATTAAATCAATATATTTTAAGTAAGCGTTTTTATATTTTAAATACTTCTGTTGCGAAGTCGGTGCCGGGTACGCTAGATAAGATTTTCCAGTGAAATACGGTTCGACGATTTCAACAGTACGTTCGCATCTTTTCCCGAGCGTACCGATTTTACATTTGCATTCGATTTCTTCGTGGCCGGTCAAACATTCACCGAGCCCACATATGCCTATAATAACCACAAACAATATTAATAGAAAAAATGTAATTGTTATATAACATGTCTAAATGCTAAGCGTGATTTCGAAAAACTTCCGACTTACCGGGCGTACAYACTTCACTTATCCTATCACAATACTCGCCGCTGTAACCGGGTTGACATATACACGTATATCCTTGGCTGGTTTGAGCCTCTTGGCAGATACCTTGGTTCAAACACTGATTGTTGGAACAAACATCACACGTGCCCAAACCTTGTTTGTCCACTGAATCCTTCATCAAGTTATACGTACGGGTTTCTGATTTAAAACCACTGATGCAACCTGTAGAGAATCACGTATTCAAAGATATGATATTATTATTGTKAACTATGTATTATACCACTGTGKTAATGTCATTATTTTCAAATTTGTTAATAGTAGCAATAGCTTATAGTAGTATATGACAGTATAATGACATGTAAGCAAATATTGTAAAAATAGTGAGCATGAAAACAAACATATATAAAAACAATTTTTTGGTTTAACTTTAAAAAAAAAACTTGAACATTGAATATTTTGGAAGTTTTATTTTCCGTAAGTGAGATATTAAATAGAAGGCATTTATCGATTTCATAACAATTATTAAATTATTATATTATCTTTAAAAATGTTGACATATTATAAATGTATAGAGGAGTTTTGTTTAAAATTTGAGTTTTTTGTTTRGGGACTAGCGTAAGTAGGTACACCACTGGTTTATAGCCTTAATGCGCACTTACCAACGAATCCAGTTTGGAAACCGACGTCTTTGTGTATCGACCCAAAGTCGGGCACTCCACCAATGTACAAGAGTTGAGATAAATCCATTCCCTGGAACGTGCCCGGACTGACGCCTCGGTACGGACCGCGTTCGTCGATGTACATGGTACCTTGTTTTTTAACCCTTTCGAGTTTAGCCACGTGCCATTCATTCAATGTCACAGGTTCAGTTGCTTTTATGATCGCAGCCCCAGATCCGACATCAAAACGGAACTCAGGAATACCGTCACGAAGTCCAAACGAGAAAAAGTCGCCCGAGCCACCAGGTTTTTGACCATTATACAATATCAATCCTTAAACAATAATATCATAATCATCAAATGTATAACCGATAAATAAAATAACGGGCATATTATATTATTATAGTTATTATAACGCAATGATAACGCACCATCGTTCATTTCGGGTTTGAAGTGAACTTCGATGTTTAATTCCAAATAAGTATTAAGAAGGGTAGGGAACGCTAAGTAGCTGTCGGTGCCACGGAATGAGGGTACGATTCCAGTAACGACAAGCACCGTTGGAATATCCATTCTCACCATTTCGTTCGAAGCTGTGCACAAGTACAATCCCGCACTCTTTTCAGTAACATTATACAGCGTTAAGTTTCTCTAAAAATATTTATAATTGTTAATGGCAGCTACAAATATATTTTATATATTAAATCTTACGCGATCGTATATAGGTTCCATTTGAGGTCCAAATTTGGCCCAAGAATATTCAACAGGTAGCGATAGATCGGTGTTACATTCTACTACAACAGATTTTCCATATGGTGCGTACTTGGTACTAACTGATGGCGAAGCAGCATCGGACGGAGTTGCTATGTAAACAAAAAATACAATTAAAATACAATTCATACTAATAAATGAACCCTATGTTGTAAAACACTTACGAAAATCATAATAGGTAAAGCAATTCCAAGAAGCGTTATTGTAATAAATACACGGTTAGACATTTTCCAAAAATATAAATAAGTTATAACTTACGCGTAACGATTAATTCATAATCTTCAGTAACGATGTTATTATTTTTATCTCGTTTCGTGCATCTGTATATTCCGGCATTCTCTTGTTTCACGTCATTAAGCCTGTAGTGGTTAACCCGATGTTATTAAAGATTTTTAAAATTACATCATCACTGAGAAATTTAGCTTAACCCAGAAATAACGCACTTGATTGTGGATCCTAGGTTTTCGACATTGTTTGCCATGTCGTCATTTACTTTGGCCCATGTAATTTCACTGTATTCACTAATGGTACTTGCGTCATCCGCCCAAATACACTCGAGCTCTAAAGTGTCACCAATGTACACCGTTCCTTGGCTAGGCTTAATAAAAAGACCAGAGTTCCGACCTTTACACAATATGTATACAAGATTACGTTCGATTGTTAAAAATATAAAAATACAAGTACTATATGAATATAATAAGACAATTTATACCATGTATAAATTTCTTTTACAGTTTTACCTGAGTTAGGTTGCAATAATATACGTATCTATATATAATGACTAATAATGGTTTATATACAGTATACAGTTAAGTTAGGTCTAGTGCTTTCTTGATGAGTTAATGTATTGAAACAAAAATAACTTAAACTATTATAGCCGTAAGCATTTGTGCATTTGAGCATATTATGTACATTTATTTATTGTACAAGTGCATATAGCACCAGTGTGATAGATTGGTGGATTCTTAATAATCAAGAAAGCAAAATGTGTGTATCTTTAAGTTAGTTATGAAAAGAAAAACACGGGGACAAACCAATTCTCTTTTTCTTCTCCAAACACGAATCTTCTTCGTCCGAACCGTCGGAACAGTCCGGCGTGCCATCGCAATACTGAGTAAAATAAATGCATTGCCCGTCGTTACAGCGGAACTCGTCAATCAGACAAGATGCTGAAGTTTTGTTAACATAGACAACCACCATCACCAAAAGCGAAAACCACAATAGAAGTTGACAAAATCGTGCAAGAAGTAATAAAATCATATAATATTAAAACTAAAATTTAGCTATAACATAAATTGGTGCATTATGCCATTTTATATAAGAAAATTAATTATGATAAAATATTTATCACCTGCAGGGACAATACAAATAATATAATAATTGTGTAACAAAGTTGATACAAGTACAGTACGTCAATAAATAATATACATAGGCAGTTAAAAAAATATAAATGTTTTAAATGTATAAAATGTCTAAAATTTACGTGTTTATAGTTCTACTATATGACATATGTACACAAATACAAAGCAAAGTGTTTTAGAATGAAAAGTGTAAAGCGAAGATAAATAAATTAAAAAGCACAATAAAATATTTGAAATGAGACTATTTGGTTGTAGTTGTATACAGAATGATTCACCAAGCTTGCTCACCTCATTTTTGCATTTAGGATTTAATAATTTAATAMATTTAATWAATTTAATGAGTTTATTTAAATTCTTGTGAATTTTTGTACAACCAAAAAAGTATCCAGTGGTCATAGCCCTTCTATTTTCCAAGGCCCTTATCGTGGATCTTTTATCCTTAGTACATAATAAATAACTAAAAACTAAGCACTCCTCAAAGTTTTTATTTTAATAAGTCAATATTTCCAGAAAAATTATCCGATATAAAATATATGGTAGAAGAGGGAGTTCACATTTGAAAACCAGAAGTATTTATCTCCACTCCTTTAAGAAATACAAAAAATCTTAAGAATTTGAAAATATTATAAAGTTTTTAAGTATGTTCAAAAATTCCCAAACTCAAAATTTTAATAATAGCATTATTAAAGGGGGTGAGAAATTGAGTATTCTTGGTAAATCCCACTGTACATGAAAAACAGATAAATAAATACTTGTGCATAGTGATAATGTAAAACTATACGCTTGAAATGTACAATTAATAATCATTATACGTAGGTATACCAGTGGTCATTAATAGTGAAAAATTATATATTCAGTCGACTTTTGGTAGGTACCTATTAAAGTTCAAGAGGCGCAAAACAAATTCGACTTTCTAGAAAATTTARGATACCTATTGAAAACTTGTTCAATAAATTTTTAAATTAACAAGATTATTTAAAGATTAAGTGTTATTGTTATTTTTAATAGAATCTTTTTTGTTCGAAATATCTAGTATTTTGAGTTATATCAAGATTTGAGTTACCGAGAGTCGACTTTAGTATTTTTTTCAGTAATTAACAGACAAACAAAGAAGTAAAGAAACAATCGCATATACATTCTATATATCCACATAAATTACACGCAYATAACGCATCACTAATTATTCTAAAGGTGAGTAATTACTAATTATGAAATAATTGATGAAAATTGCATAAAGTCTCAAAGTGAATAGTTCACATATTATGTTTAGATTTGGCCAATAAACTCGGAGTTAGGATTTTTTAYAAGTTATAAAATATCAAATAATGTATTAATTAAATTGCGTCTAGAATAAAATACACTTTATATAWAAAGTCAACGGTAGTACTAAAAAGTTAGGCTAAACTTTTACAATATTGAGTGAAGTCACATTTATATATTATTTAATATAATATTATTCTTTTACAATATTGTACCAATATATTGCATTGTAAAGTTAATACTCAACATTATTAAAAATGAAATAGATATTTCCAATTGTATAATTATAAGAAAATATTTTATGCAAAGTAATGCAAGTATTTTTTTTAATTACCRCCACTTAGTTAAAATTTGTCTCTAAGGTAAATAATTAAAAATGTACAGATAGTGTTTTATTTAAGATGTCCGCAACTTAAAAAACTACGATAATTAAAAAAAAAGTCTAGATATAAAATAAAATAATAACGATACCAATGCTATTATTTAAATAATATTTATTTTTCATGACTTACGGAGAACACGGAGATCTATGTAGTCAGTAGTTGTACCGTACGGACTATCCACTTTACATGTATAACGGTCAGAATCATTCATACGTAAGTTTCGTAAGCTTAGTACTTCCCCACGTAATTGACTATCATTTGGAAGTGGTGATCGGATACGGCTCCATTTCACAGTGTATTGCTGTTAAATATTTTTAAGCATCRATGAGTTTTTTGATTAARATTTTAATATAAATAGATATTTATTCTCAGTTATAATCGATATAACTATTGGTATTACTCACTTCACTTGATCTGGGTAGTACACACCGGAGATTAGTGTTTCCGCCTTCAAATACTTCTTGATTGTGATCAATAGCTCTGATGATTGGAGCGGGGTGATCTCGTRAGTTATCTAAACAGTATAATTTAATAATTGTAACTGTATTGTTCAAAGTAAAACTGTTTATCWTATAGATTTATGAGCTCAATGCTTTGTTTATCTTTTTGACTTTTTACAATTTTATTGACTAAAATTTTACCGTTCACAATGACTTCAGCAACAGATTCAGCTTCTCCGATGTTGTTAACAGCCTTACATAAATATCTACCAGTGTCTTGTTCAGTGATGCCATTAAACTATTAATAAAAATGAAGGTAAAAAAAGGAATTAAAAAAAAATATTCATATATATATATACTCTTAAAAATCCTCCACTCGTTTGTACAGTAGGTGGTAATGACCGACTATACAATTTCGACCATGTGATTGAAATAGGTTGATCTCCATCAGCGGTGCACATAATTTGAGCGTTGTCACCTCGTTTAACTATTTGTCGTGTTGGGTTCAAAACAATTCTYGGAGGTTCTAAAATATGAGAGTTTATTAGATTATTGTATAGGTAAATAATTACATCAAAAATGTAAAAAAATATTATTATTGTTATTTTTTTTTTACCTCCAACGGTACAAATTTGATTTTTTTCTGTCAGCGTTTTAATAATTACAGAATATTAAATTATTGTCATACARGTACAAATATTTGAGATGATTATATTTTATTTTAAATTTTAACTTACCAACTACTTTTAATGTAATGGGTCGACTAAATACAACAGTTCCATCGGATTCAATCCCTAAACAGTTGTACTGTCCTTGATCCGATTTCTGGACATTTCTCAAAATTAGCATATTATCGATAATATCATGTTCTTCRGATAATGAGAGTTGGTTACCTCTCACCCATGTTAATTGTATGCGATCTCTAATCGCAGATGCGTCTATAAACAGGTAAAATAGATTAACATGTTAAAATCGTATCATAACTATGGTCAATGGTCTATGAGAGGTATAGATCATACTATCATAGATGTATTTACACATACCGGCATTACAAGTAAGAACTGCTTTAGATCCTACTAAATTTACTAATTCATCTTCAGGTTTTGTGTTAGGAATTACACCACCACTTTCATCATTTCCAGCTATATCACCTCTGAACGGACCAGATGTTTTATTTTCCTCTTCRTTTGTATTTGATTTTCCTTCATTTTCTCCACCATATATTTCRTTTGCGTCATCAGACACAATTAGTTGTACTCGATCTTCCACAGGTCCGGCAGAATTTTGYGCAATACAGGAATATGTCCCGGTATCTGATGGTTGAGCATTTTCTATAACATATTCAGCTATGTCAGATGACCCTAAGTTACTGCGAGATTCACTAAAAAAAATAAATGCTGGTTATAATTGGATTCAATAYATCAGTAAATCAAATCAATCTTACGGGTAAGAAGAATAACTCTGTGTAAGCTTAGTCCATGTCACCGTGGGTGACGGTTTTCCAGTCGCGCGACAGTGAAGCTTAACTGGTTTTCCTGGTAGTACTGTTATAATACCAGATGGCCTTAGGTTAATAACGGGAACAGATTGGACTTCAAGAACAGCTATAGCTGATGTCATGCCAGCATTGTTTCTGGCTTCACAAACATATTCRCCTGCACTAGATGCTTCCATACCAGTAATTCTAAGACATAATACATTAAGATACTAAGTACATTTGAAATAAAATATTTTAATGATTTCATTTAATTTTGCTATACTTGATTACTCCCGGTGGAATCTCCTCCATTTGACTWGGTAAACTTTCGCCATTGCGTCTAGTCCACTTGATAACAGGTGTAGGAATTCCTCCAGTTACTCGGCATTGGAATAATACACTACCTCCAAGAGTCACAGTTTGTCTACCGCTTGGGTATAATTCAATAGTCGGAGCTTCCCTTCCTAACAAATTATAAATTAATATTATCGATACAAATTTGTTTAATTTATTAATATGTTTTAATAAATACGTACGTTCAATATCAATAATAGAAGATGCTTGTGCAGTCCCACCTTCATTTGTAGCTTTACAAACATATATRCCACGATCTTTGACTTGAGCTGATGGTATGCGTAGTACAGATCCACTAATCTAAAAAATCAAAAAGGCATACTACGTTATGTTTGAAAATAAGTAATAATATAATGTACATTTTTTTTGACTATATAAATATTCAAATGCTACAATAAAAAATACCCTCTGTTCCGAGATTGTTTTCTCCAGTACTGAGAAATATACTCAGGASAGGGTTTAATTTAGACTTGATATGTCTAATATCAATTTAATATAATAATATAAAATCTAATATATAATTTATCYATTGAGAGTAGTAAAAAAAATGAATTAATAATTTGGCTTACTGATTTTAATTTGTCTAAAAATTATTAATTTAAATTAAATGTTACTAAGTAATTTGTGGTKTTGAYACTCCAAACAATGGAATACTTTTAATTTTATAAGTAGGCACATATAACAAGAAATATATTTGGTTAAATATAATAAACAAATAAAACAAAAATTATTTTAAAAGGTCTATGGATAGATTAAATTAATTGTATTTTAGATTCTGAGCGAAGCGAGGAATGTATTGATTTTACAATGATGTATGTTTTTCATTTTTGTATTTTTTTTTTGTGTCTGTCATCACGTTTCGGGGAAGTAAAAGTGCTTCGATTTTCGACTTCAGTACCTCGTTCGATCAGAAAGTGAATCTAGTTGGTACTTTGGGGGGTCAAAAGTAAAAAATATTTTTCTAAATATTCGGGATAAACAAACTAAAAATTAAGGGAAAAACGGGAAACTTTACGCACAATCAGTTTTCGACAAAATCGATTTTAGTTTTTGATATAACTTTAAAACACATGACGTGAAATTTTCACCGAATGTTTATATTAGTATATTCCATCCACCATGCAATTTTCAAAAATACAGTCGACTTAAGTTGAACTATTTATAGACATATGCAATTTTCGATCATTATTAGTTTTTTCAAAATTAATATCGATAAAAATTTATTTATTGGGTAGAAAAGCTTGAAAATTGAATCCAAGGCTCMTAACATATTGTTACAATAGCAGTTGAAAAATAAAAGAAATACATATGTAGTCACAATTTTTTTATAAGCATTCAAATTTTAAATTTTGACTAAATACCTAGCAATCACGAAAATTCGCAAATTATTTTAAGCTAGAAATTCATAAAAAATTTAACACAAGATTTCTTAYAAGTTTGTCAACCTTTATCATAAAATAAATATCCACCAGAAAGTCAAATTAAGTTTTTATGAGCGTTTGAAATTTAAATTTTTACAACATTGGATTTTCACTAGATTTCTCATTTAACGATTTTCTTATTTTGGTCTAACTCTAAAACAAATGACCGCAGATACTTGAAATTTTCACTGGATGTTTATAAGGCATTTTCTATATTTGATAAAATTTTTAAAATATTATGATTTATTTTGAGATTATGTTTATGTGAATGTTATCTATA